GGGCCTTTTGCATACCGTCCTCCTTTGGCAGGAAACCTGTGACAGCCTGTCCACCTTCAGTATCTCCATGCATATGCGGGGCTAGGGTTAGCTCATACTGCTGGGGTCGAGATGTGCGAGAGATCGGCAGCGACACCTGGTGTGTTGACGACATCGTAGAGGGCGAGCTCAGTGACGTGCTGGCAGGACTTGAGGAGCAGAGAGAGGGGCTGTCGAGGTCATGTCAGTCAGTTCCGGATGCATCGTAGAGGGAAAAGTCCCGGAGGTACTCTCGAGCTCGTACCTGTCCAATGCCTCCTGCGGCCCCGGCTACTACGGCTTTGACCATTGTGATGTGAGTTTGTAAAAGGGAGACGCGTTGAAAAGTGGTAGCTGAGAATAGAGATTGAGAGAGGAGTTGAAGAGTCGGTGAGAGAAAAGAAAGCAGGAGGAGGTGGCTTGAAGTAAAGTAGGGTAGGAGCTGCACCACGCGCCCGTTCTGTTGGATCCAGGAAGGTGGGGTGGAGCACGGACCTGGCGGGGTACCGGCGGGAGTATGTCTGGGAAACGCTTCAAGCTAATGGCCGTCTAATGCCCCCCAGTACAGTCTGGCTAGCTTTGTGACGATATTAGTTTCGTGAGTGCTTGTTGAGGGTCTTGGTAGTGGAATCCAGGCTGTTCCATATACAAAGTAGATGGCTTGTATAATGGGCTTTGGAGAAAAGATGCATTCTCATGCGCTCGCTGTGTTAGCCAAGCATGTGCAGCGAGCCTCGGTGCCATGAGCAGTCGGAGCAGGTCGGATGCCCACTAGTTGTGACGCAGGTACGGATCCATAGACTGGAGAAGATGTTTTTTAGCCCGCGTGCGGTAACTAGTACTTCGGCCGCTGACGAACTGTCTAGGGCACTCTTGTCAGTAATGAGGGATAATTGGCAAGGCTGTCTGATCATCGACAGCAGTCCACCCAATAGGCTTCCTAGACCCCTGGATTGTCTCGGTACCACCTCTTTCTGTGAAGATCTCCAGGAATTGATGCGATGTGGACCTTGGACCCTGACTGATCTTCGTCATATTCAGCCAGTTTAGTTGCCGGAGCGGATCGGGATGCTGCCAACGCTGTTTCCAGCTCCGCGCTCAAGCGGCCCAAGCACACCTCATTGCACTGTTGATGGGCAAACATGGTGGTGGTGCAAGCTGTTACTCTATCAATGGATATCTGCTCATAAGGCTGCCACAAGCTAACCGATCCGCATCCGCGGCCGTGCCCAAGAAATCCCCAAACTCCCTCAACGCCTCGTAAACACTGGGATCATACTCATTGCCTGCCTCCATCACCTCCCCTGTGCCTTGATAGAACCATCCTATACAAGTAAAAACCCCGACAGGTCTGGAGACTACATCAACATGATAACATGCAAAGTGAGTGAGCTAACGTCGAAGTAGGCTCCAGAGCCTAGGATAACGCCGTCGTTCCTAACTCTCAGCGTCGACCCTCTCGCCTTCGGCGTCGTCGGGGTCAGCCTCATACCGGCCATAGCTCTGGGGATCGGCATTCGGGTCAGGCCCACGCTGACCACCAACTGCGTACATTTGCGGCTGCTGACCGCTCACCTGGTATTGGGTGTAGACGCTGGGGTCGAACATCGGCTGCTGTGCATAGGCGCGGGGGTCGCCTTGCATCGGACCCGGGTACATGGGCGGTTGCTGGTACTCCTGCTGCTGTCCCAGATGCTCCTGCAGGCCATAGTCGGGAGGTGGCATGGAATGTTGAGCATGTACTGGCTGAGGCATAGCCCCGGGAGGGACCACAGCTGCTGATGACTGTACAGCTGCGTTCTGGCCGGCACTTCTCTTGTGGGGATGAGCCTCCTCGCGGGGCACGATGTCGATGAGGAAGTCGAACATGTCCGACTTTGACAAAGCCGAGGCGATGTCGGAGCGCTGGAGAGTGCGACGCTTGTTTTCCTCGGCGTGGATCCAGGCGCGCATTGTGAGCTCGGTGATGAAGATGTCGCAACCCTTGGCGAAAAGGATGGGAGCTTCCGCTGAGATCATCTTGACCTCTGGGTCGGCCTTCATGACCTTCTTGATCCGGGCGAGCGGGAGCTGGTGCAGCTTGTAGTCATGTTCGTCCGTCTCGAGCTTCGTGACCTGCTGCTGCCAGTAGGTATTGAGAATGTCGCGGTAGTTGCCGGTGAGTCCTTGGTTGACCTGTAGGCGTTAGTTTGTGCGATCGTGGCTATGACAGATGCGAGCGCGTACGTTCTGCCACGAACCGGTGAACAGCTGTGGATCAGGCGCGTGGTTCTGTGCGGCAATCTGGACCAAATATCAGCGACTGGAAGTAGGCATAGGCGCGGATGCGCGAATATAACGTACTGCTGCAGATGCGCCTGCGGTATAGTGTTAGCACAGGATGTCATGGTGAATGCGACAGCCAGCGCCGCGTCGCGTGGCATGCAGCTGGGGCGGGAAGACGTACCATAGTGGCCACCGTTGGTGGGATCATAGAGGGGGTTGCCCTGCTGGCCGTCGTATTTGCGCGGCGCAGCTTGCTGGGGCTGCTGGCGCATCTTCTGCTGGCCGTGGCCCTGGAGGTTGACTTGGTCCATGGCTTGGGCGTGGTTGCGCAAGTGTTACGCGGTGGACAGGGTCTGCGTCAGTCCGCGGCGTGTCTGGATGGCAATACTTGTTCCTCGGTCGCGGGACGGTGCAGAAAGGGACGCGCGACGTCCAATGGCTGCTCGGGGTCTCGCGGTGGGCGTGTTGTGAGAGGAGGGCGAGGTCGTGATTCCGTCGAAGATGCGGTCTGAGTGGTCGGGAGAGGTGGGCGGGGAAGGCGCAGGTACCTGTCTTTAGGCTCCCGCGGCGTTGCTGTGTGCGGCCTGCCATGGTAGATGAGCATTACTCTATTTCTCAATCGCACCAACACTCGTGAGGTTGTATCAAATGCGCAACTGACCTATGCTCTGGTTCGACGAATCAAATTCCAGTACGAGAATATATTCGCGGAGTTTGATGCTTGGTTGGTGGGTTTCTAACGAGTCAACGAACCACAGCTAAGCAAGGGCCCCAACGTTACTCACGACGCGGACAATTATGTAGAACTGTGGGCGAAGACGGGCTGCAGTATAGGGCGGGTGCAGGATTCGCTCAATGTTCTGACGTAGTATTTCTCATACTAGAGTCTCTTCAGAAGAAGATGCTGCGATCGTCGCTTCAGCCATGCTTATATGCGCGATATGCACGTCGCACCACATCTCTCTACAAGGCCCGACAAGGTGACAGCACAGTAGCGACGCAATGTTCCTGCCGCCTCTATCACAATTCAATCTCCATCCGGCGCAAGACTCGAACCGATCGTGGCCCATGGCAGCACACTTCACATCGAGGCACCACGCTAGAGAGACGAACTTGATCCCGCCCCAGCTGGAGTAGCATGCGGGATGTGAGCGCTGTTGGTCAGGATGACGCGTTCTCATTGGCCCCGTAGACACCAGGGCTATGCCAGTGATGAGTTGTTCACCGTCCGATTCTCTCGAGCGCGCCAGAATATGCGAGCACGCGTCATAAGACAATATGACAAGGCGACGGCCCAGGAGTGAAGCTGACTCTGGAGCTTCATCAGCGGGCTTGACGTGGCGGATCCCAACCATCGGGACCATTTTCGAGTGCACGAGAGACACGAAGAAAGCCTTGGAGCAGGGCAATCCTAGCGTAGCAGCAGAGGTGGATCACTGTCAATCCAGCTGCCTTGAATTGGAAATGGTATGAGAGACTGCGAACGTAATGTCGCCGCGAGCGCATCGCGACCAGAACGGTTAGCGCTGCCGCACGGGCCGAACTGGCTAGCGCGCCGGAGCTTCTCAAAAAGTTCCTCAAATTTTCCAACACTTTCTTCCCGGACAACGCCAACATGGAGTTGCCAACGCACCAGCCGCTCCTCGCTGAGGACACCGATGAGGAACTCTCGGATGAGCAGATACGGGAGCTGCTTAATGAAGCTGCAGTCCGTATGCGCGCAAAGGCAGCCACAGCGCAGCCCGCGAACAAGTCGGATGCTCCATTCAGGCTACCGAAGCTGCAGCCCGGCCATATTGCCGATACTTACGAAAAGACTGACGGCAACATCACGCGCCTAGATCACTCGAAGCTCGTCGACAAGAAGCAACAGGCTTTGGCTAACGGCATCAAGAAGATTGAGGATCCGCTTCAAATCAAGAAGCAGAAGCAAGAGGTACGTTCAAGCCACACTATTCGCATCCGCATGCCCGTGATGAAAATTATCCCAAACTTTTAGCTGAGCAGACTCGGGCGCCGTCTTGGTTGCCTTCCTGCACCACTGAGGCTCCATTAGTTCATAGTTACACTGAGGCATTACCACACTCAAGTTTTACTTTTGAAGTTGTCAGTCACGATGCTAACAGCTTTCCACAGGAGAAGAAGGCCACCGCTGGCGCACAGTGGTTCAACATGCCCAAGACCGACCTTACCCCAGAGCTGCGCCGAGATCTCCAGTTACTCAAGATGAGGAACGTCCTTGACCCCCACCGCCACTACAAGAAGGACAACAAGAAGGGCGATGTTCCTGCATTCTCCCAAGTCGGCACTATCATCGAAGGCGCTACTGAGTTCTACAGCAGCCGTTTGAAGAACAAGGAGCGCAAGCAGACCATGCTGGAGGAGATTGTCGCCCAGGAACAGGACAGCGGCCGTTTCAAGCGCAAGTACGAGGATATCCAGACATCGAAGCAGAGCGGCAAGAAGGCGCACTACAAGGCGATGAAGGCGAAGCGAAACAAGGGCAAGGTCGTCAAGCCTTGAGACTTGCTTGGTCGCTTCTGGCCACATGCCAGGACGATTCTACACCGGGACCTTGTTTGTTCTGGACCGTGTGGATGGTATATTCTATTCTGGATTCAGGCCTCACTCTTGTGAAAATATGCCTGCCTGCGATGCGCATCTGAAAGGACACACTGGCGGTTGCCGCATTGGCCCGCCGTTACCACAGCCCTTGATCATTGGCCGTGAAGATCGGACAAGATCTGCTTGACCAGGGCTTGCATGTCCTTCGCTGCCTCCCGTCCGGCCTCCAGTACCTCCTCGTGGTTTGCCTTACCTTGGCTCAAATGCTCAGTCAGTTCCGCCCTGTTCATGGTCTGGATCTCCGCATCGTTGCCACGGGCGCCTGCCTCAAGCACAGCCACATTGGTAACTAGACTGAATGCTAGAATACGCATTCCAGCATGTCTGGCAACGATAATCTCCGGTACAGTGGACATACCCACTACATCAGCTCCTAGCGTGCTGAGCATTCGGCATTCTGCACGAGTTTCGTAACTTGAACACGGTCAGCATATGTTTGATGCCATAGCGAAGTAGAGGGAGGAGAAGGACTTGAATGACATACGTTGGTCCTGCCACAAACGCGTACACACCCTCGTGTAGCCGTCGCTCCTGTTTATCCAGTCCTAGTTTTGCCCAGGCCTTGTGCGTCCGCACCCTCAAGTCGAGGTCGTACGCATCTGACAGAGGTGGGAACCGTGTGCCAAACTCCTCGATATTGGGTCCGCGCAGAGGATGGATGCCCACCAGTCCAGCCATATTGAGATGCTAGGCAGAGTCAGATTGAGCTCGACGTTTGAAAAGGGTCGACCTACGTCGTTCAAGCATACGATGTCTCCTACGCGGTAAGTCTGGTTGAGCCCACCGGCTGCGTTCGTGACTTCATCCACGGTTAGCCAGTTGACTTTGATCATCTGCTCTCTTGACATACCGATCATAGTCTCGACACCGAGCAATTTGCACACTCGAGTAGCGAATGTGACAAGGTCCATCGAGTGTCCTTCATAGAAACTGCATCCATTAATCCCATGATCTTTGTAAAAGAGCCTCTGATTTCTCCGTGACTCACTGTGCCCGTCCAACAAGAAGCGCTACAGGCGTCTTCTGAGGCCCAATCTGACCGAACACAAACTTTCCAGCATGTCCCACAACTAAACAAAGGTGTCAGTACCCCGCATCCTGTGTAATCCGCAAGATCAACTCTGTAGCGAAATAATGCTTCTATGTCTGCACTCACCAGTACTCTTGGGAAAGTTTGGAATGGTGCCATAAGCCAGTTCGACTTTCGGTTCCGCCTCGATTGTGTCGGCCAGTCCACCAAGTCCAGAGCCGCACACAATGGCTACCTTGGGGTACTGCAGAGCCTCTGGCAGCTGTTGGCGCACGTACATGGCCGTTTGCATAGCGCGGGCGTAGGCGTTCGGTGCCGCAGCCATATCTGAAACTGTTTCCATTTTGATTAATTGGTGCTTCTTCAGGAACAGGTGAAAAACGAGGAATCGCAGAGGTTCGATCTTGTATCAAGGGGAACAAGTTATCTTGTACATGTGACAATTTGAGACGGTACGACTAGGGTGCAGAGGGAAGGCGCGGCCAATTCCGATGCCGCCAAGACTCTAGCTGCAATCGCGACTAGCGCCGTCGGCTCTCTGGAAGAAGTTCGATGTTGGACGTGGGCGAGTGCGACGATATCAAGCATGGCAGCGCCACGATGTATGCGCTCCTTCTTGGGGCCGGCGAAGAGGGCAAAGGTATTTCTACTTCAATTGAACTGCTTGTGGGAGTCTATCAATTGCTAATGCGCGGTACAGATTACCCACGCCCCCCGACCACACACACAGACTTTCTCGCGGGCGAAGAGCTCACGATCAGAGGAGAGCAATGAGAGGGACTCGAGAGAAGACAAAGATGCCAAGCTTATGGGTCGGTTGAAGCTGGAGCTGGAGAACAGTACCATGCCACTCGACCAGCGGTTGGAGGATCTTGGTATCAGTCGGGAGGAATACAAGACGTACGATATGCTGAATGGACAAGAACAACAGAAGAAGTTGCTGACAACAAATTAGTCTATACGCAAGTCAACAGAAAGTCAACCAACGTCAGGAAGAATGGGAGCCCAAGACACGCGAAGAGGCAGCGCAGAGGTGGAAAGAACTACAAAACACACCTGATCACTTGGGTCTACTCAAGGTGTACAAACGCGCTGGTCTGGAACCTATCAAACTGGCAAAGTAAATCTCCCTCTCTAGTTCTCAATTCCCAATCCGCATTCCTCTAACAACAACACCAGGGAACACAACATCACCCTCCCCACCGACCAACCCCCGCTCGACGCCAAAACCGCCGAAGCCCTCGAAGCCCTCCGCACCCCCATCAATGTCCGGGCCGTACACATGCGCCCCCTGCGCCGCACGCCCGAACACGGCGTGCCCACCTGCGACCTCCAACTGCGCACCTACAACATCCGCAATCTCCTCCTCTTTGCCGACTTCGCCGTCCGCGCAGCCTACTACATGGGTCTCTGCGCCCGCGGCCCCATCCCCCTCCCCCGCATAACCGAACGCTGGACAGTCCCACGCTCCAACTTCATTTTCAAGAAATCCCAAGAGAACTTTGAGCGCATTACCATGCGGCGGCTGATACAGATTCAAGACGGGCATCCGGATGTGGTGAAGGCGTGGTTGGCTTTCCTGCAGAAACATCAGTACCATGGGGTGGGTATGAAGGCGAATATCTGGGAGTATGAGAGTTTGGAGGATGCGACGAGGGCTGGGTATGAGATGAAGGAGGGTGATTATAGTAGGAGGAGAGAGGGCAAGGTTATGGATAAGGTGGCGGAGATTCTGCAGAGGGATGGGTTTAAGGAGGCGATGAAGGGGCATGAGGGGAAGGTTGAGATGAGGCCGTAAGAAGCTGGGTACGTTGGACGATGGAAGGCAGCGGCAGCATTGCGTGGAAGAGCCATGGATTTCGAACGCTATGTATAAATATGTGTATAGAAACATATCCCGCGTAAGAAAGCATTTACGTCATTTCTCGACACCGTACATGCTGATAAAATTGAATGACCGTCCTGCAACAGATTCACTGCAGGACGGTCATTCAATTTTATCAGCATGTACGGTGTCGAGAAACGACTATGCACGCCAAACTATACTACCCAACTACCATCTCACCACCCATCCTTCTCTTCTCCAGCATACCTCTCATCCGCAAGCAACAACTCCAACATCGCATCCAACAACGCCTGGTTCATACCCCTCCCCTGCAACGCCCGCACTTTATTCAACACTGGCTCCCCGTTGTTGACGCAGTTCCAGTAATCCCACTTCTTGTCCAGTTCGATCCACGCTTTATCGATGATATCCCAAAGCTTGGGGTTCGGGTCGATAACATCGAGTTGCGGCCCCGACGAGGAAGAACCCGCAGAATGAGAAGATGAAGAGAGTAATTCGATGTGGATGGTGTGCGAAGTTGGCACCGCATCGAGCGTGATGAGCGTGCCGTTGCTTTCCTGGGTGATCTTGTGTGAAAGCGTCTTTGCATGTTTCTTTGTGCTGGAGGAGGTGGTGACGCATCGGATCTCAGCGCCCTTCTTGAGTGTGTGAGCCAGGAGGCGGATCTTCCAAGACCGGTTCTTGGGGATGGCGGGGTTTTCAGGCGTTGTAGGACCGATCTTGATGACGCCGGTGGATTGCTTGTACGTGATGGGTGTGTGTGCGAAGCGCACGGTGTCGTCGGCGGATTCCTCGTGGCCTTCGTCTGAGATGATTGAGAAGCCGCCGTCGTCGACGAGGTGGCCGGTGCCGTCGTCTTCGATTAGAGTGAAGGAACCGTCTGCGCCTACGGCAAGCAAGATCTCAAGACCCTCTGGGTTTGGAGAACCGGATTTGGGACGGTAGGCTGCGTCGAGCGGGATTATGGATCCTTCTTTTGCGAAGACGGGGACGAAGTTTAGAGGGCGGTGGACAGTGAGCTCGCCGGCGCGGTTGTATACGATGCCGGTGAAGATGTCGACGTAGCGGCCTTCTGGGAGCCAGAGCTTCTCTGCGCCGAGATGCGTAGTCCCGTCGCGAGGCTGGGTGATAGGTGCCACGATCATTTCTGAGCCGAAGCGGAACTGGTTGGGCACATTGTACGCTTCGTCAGACTCTGGGTAGTCCCAGTACATGGGCTGAACGAGCGGCTCGTCGTCGGAGGCACTTCTCGCGTTCATGGTGTACAAGTATGGGATGAGGCGGTGGCGGAAACGCAGTGTATCTTCGACGATCGTGCACGCTTCTTCGTTGAACCGCCAGGGCTCGCGCGTGTTGAAAGGGTTGTTGTCTGAATGAAGACGCAGAATGGGCGACCAGCAGCCAAGTTGTACCCAGCGAGTATAAAGCTCGTCGTTCTTGTAGCCATGTGTATGACCACCAATGTCGTTGCTCCACCAGCCGTACCCGATGTTCGATGCGGTAGCTGTGAACTCAGGCTGGAAGTGCAGACTGTCCCAGGTGATGATAGCATCGCCAGAAAAGCCGATCTGGTAGCGCTGTGCTCCAGGGCCGCCGAATCGAGAGAGGATCAAAGGACGCTGGGACCCACGGCCATTATCGAGGAAGTGGAAGTGGTTGAGCACCCAGAGAGGGTCTACTCCAGGGATCTTGGATGTGTTGCCTTGCTGCCAATCCACCCACCAGAAGTCTACGCCTCGCTCCTCGTGCTCGTGGTGTACGATGTCGAAGTATGCGTCCATGAACTTCTTATCCGTGCAGTCGAAAGGAATCGTCTGTTTAGACTGCGGGTCGATACCAAGGTATTTGGCGACTTCAGGGTACTGCTCTTCGTGAGGCCTGAATCCGTCCGCTGGATGCAGGTTGAGCGTCAGCCTCATGCCACGATCATGCAGCTTCTTCATGAAAGCGTCTGGGTCAGGGAACAGTTTCTTGTTCCATGTGTATCCGGTCCAGCCATTGACACCGCCAGGCAGATCCCATACCAGATGCCAGTCCATATCCACAACCGCCACGTTCATGGGTACATCGTCGCGGTCGAAATGATCGTGCAAATCGAGATATTCCTTCTCGTCGTATGCGTGGTATCGACTCCACCAGTTGCCCATGGCGTATCGTGGAAGGAGGGGCTGGCTTCCTGAGACAGCGTAGTATGCACGCATGGCCTCCCGGTAGTCGCGACCATACATGAAGATGTACTGATCGGTCCTGTCGCCACCCCTGCGTCCAGCAATCCACCCATTGTCTTCGAAGAGCATGGACTTGGTGTCATCCAAAGGAGCCATGCCCTCTCTCGACAGCACACCAGGACCTAGGTTGGCCCTGCCGTTCACACCGTCTAGTGTACGAGTTGTTCCGCCCAAGTTGGAGACTTGTTGTCCGTATGTCCATGTGCCCGTCACGTCGCCCTTGAGATGAATCTTGAAGCCATCGGCGCTAAACTTCTTCTTGTCGTACACAACGTGGAAGCGCTTCGTTACGATCTCGATGCCGTGGCCGCGGTCCCAGACATAGAAGTCGGGCACAGCTAGCTTGCGGTTGATGGCAAAGGTGCTCGCGCGGTCTTCGAATCGTCCATCCTCGGCCCACTCGAAGCGGAGCAGGCCATCTGTGAGGATGGTAAAGCGGTACTTGTCGCCTGCGACAATAGCGTCCGGGTGCGCGACCGGGCGCGTCTTGAAGTCGTAGCGAGCTTTCGTCATAGCTTGAGTAATGAAACAAGACGAGATCAGGTAATTCCTCTCGTGTAGGCCCTCGAGGGTTGTCGTGGCATTGCCCGGCGCGGTCAGACACGGACGGCGTCATTCATCTTAAGCACGTCCGGGGAAAGGAAGCTCGGACGGTGTGCCTGACTAGCATCATGATCGATGCGCGTGACCTCGGTTGAGGGGGAGCTCGACCTGTCAAAACCAAACCGCCATGCGAGGTAAGTCAGGCGACGGCTCCAAATCGGCCCTGCTGCCTCTAGACAGCATACTAAGGTCATGGCGAACGACTGGGGAAGAAGAAATCAATAGATGGTGTTGCAAGATCGAGGGCAGGAGTGGACACGCGACGGCGTCAGTTGAGCTCAGAATGACAAAGAGTCCCTGCAGGACTGCTGCAAGTAACCACAACGTAGCTGCAACGACATCGCACCGCATACGAGCATGCATGTATTGAATACGAGCTTGTCGGATGACTTCCGCTCAACCCCAGAAACACTGCATCACACCCTATCGCAACCTGGAGGTTCTCTCAGCGTCGCATTCTTCGATTAATGCCATACAATCAGATTTACTCCATTCATCGCTCCAAACGTCCTGTGCGTATGTTCACGTAAGACTGACGTTCCCAGCAAGATTTCGGCATCCCAGCGTACCGGCTATGCTCCCTGTTATTTCCTTGACTGCAACCACGAGGAAGGCTTCCTAGATTCTCTCGCAATTCCCATTCGTATTCGAACAAGAGATCTTGAAGACTTCCACGCTTGGTTAAACACACACTTCTGTACTCTTCATACCTCCGGCACACTTGTCGTCTCTTCCCAGTCCCACCTCCATCGCTCAGCATCTGGCTCATCTGCGAGATGCAGATGCACACTCTTGTCCATCGACAAATAACGCCCAAGACTTGTCGATGCACACCAATTGGCATAATTTATTCCGGTTGCTAGCTCCTTGCGTAGCAGAGTGATTTTCAAGTGGTATCGCCTTGCGAACTTGTTGCTGATGTATAACAAGCATATGAATTGTGTGAGACTTGGCGCGTCCTTGTCGGTCACCATTATCTCAACATGGCGGCAGCTGCTCGCTAGGCGACGGGTTTTAACACAGCGGTCGATGAAGGCTTCAGCCGCCTCGCTTAATGGTGGTGAGCCATCGGGACGAGGATTGTATCGGAAGCAGCGCGAGAGCGAACGACGCAAGACGGACAGAGGTTTACTGGGGTTCACGCTGATACAGAAGCGCATTGGTTGCGCCTTCAGTTGCAGCATTCTGGGCCGGAAGATTGTCATGGCTTCGGTATTGATCAACTTGGATGTCGCCAGTATTTGGACGGGCAACCTTTTGCAGACAAGTGTGATCGTGGAAGATGGGTCTGGCATGTCGGCGAGTGTGTAATGCTTCGTTGTCGTTTCGAGCTGCTCGTAGACCATACATCGCAACTCTGGTGGAAGGTCCAGGAATCGGAAAGAGGGTTCGGACATCTCGGTGGATGTAGTTGTAAGTAGCAGAGGGAGGGACATTGAGGTGTAAGATGGTAAAATTTGAAGATCGAATCTTATGTGTGCTGAATTCGTTGTCGACCTTGGCTTCAGCTATCTCTCTACCATGGTTCGCAGGAAAACTCCGAACATAGGGACGTGTATTGGCTGCGATAACGTCCTGATGGACTTACCATCACGTTCACTTTCATTCGTTCACACGGTGTTCCCGGGCCATGCACGACCAATCCTAGCTTTAGATTACTGTCGCGGAGACACCGATTGAAGCACTAAGAGAATAGACTAACAGATATGTGAAACTAGATAACACTCGGCACGACTAGCAGAAACAAGAACAGACAAATAGAAGACAGCAATATAATAAGCCATCTAAAGGAACACTGCTGGGTTGATTAATATTGGTTTAACGCCTATATGTAACCTCCTAGAGGGCATTCTAGCAGGCACCGCCAAGAGATTATAGCGGTAGCACGCTACCTCGTAGGCCTGTTCTAGGGTGAATTATATACATGTCGAAGGGACGAGGAATACCTCCAGATGTTTCTCATGCCCGTTGTGTTCAGCGGGGAAGGAACACTACTTACACACCCAAACTCCACATTCACGACTATATCGACTCCCTCATCAACAACTAGGTTAGTCTCACTAGCCACAGGAACTCTCATAGTACACAAACCAACCGATATATATATTCCTCCCTACCAGACAATCCTAAGGCGCGGCTGTCAATACTCATCTTCATGCCCGTCGCTCATCGCCCCGCAAGTCGCGCAGACAAGCATCTCCAGAACAACTATCGTCACAACCCCCGCCATGTCTCGAAGTCGTCACCATAATCATCTCCTACAGTCGTCTCGATCTTATCCATGGTACGAAAATACTTTCCCAGACCTACAAGCTAAGTAATAAATAGCAACATCAGGGACTAGTATCACAGATCACTCCCAAATAGCTCACAAAGCAGTAGATCAATACATGACGCCGAGCCTCACAGAGTTGATTGTTGGACTACGACCTCGCTCCTTTGACCGCCATGCTGAGTATGTGTATGCACAGTCCGGAATGATATCAAGCCTTTCCCTAGTGCCAGCTACGACATTCCGAAGCGAAGACGAGGCGGTGTATCCGATCGATAACTCATGCTTAGCAGAGCACAGAGCGCTGGATCTAGCGGGAGTACTGATCGCTACGGTGATGTGTGTACGTCTTTTTGGGGTGGTTCAATACGACTTGTCCTTATGTGGGTTACAGGATGTGTGTTCGTATTCGTGCAGGATGCGTAGAGAGGAGGAAGAGGAGACTGCTCGAATGAAGGGGCGCGTTGCGATGGGAGTAAATGCGATGGGTGTAGAGGTCTGGAATGCGATTCACGCTGCCGTGGTGAGTGCGCTGATGGTAGTGAGCTTGGGTGACAGTGGACGGGCCCTCGAAGATAGTAAGTCGCCACTGTGCTCGCGGTTAGCATGTCAGCTTACTGCGTTTCTCGTCGAGAGGCACCGAAGACCCTGACAGAATGGGATCGCGATAGGAACAGATGGTGGTGGCGAGTTCAGATGGCACATGTAGGGATCATCGCTGACATTCTGATAAGGCAGCAGCTGTGAAAGCAGACAGACTATCACTGATGAAGGTATGAGTTGCAAAGAGCAAAGCGAGCAATCATGACTGCCAAGGGTACACAGTGCTGTCGCTGCGCATCTAATGGTGGATTTTCACTCCCTCCACCCTACATCAAATCTCACACCTACTAGCCTCATCGCGACATCGCTGCTAAACCACACAGCCTCAACAACAACTCCCCCCAGCCAAACAGAGCCGAGAATCACCCATCAAATACAACCAATGGCCAATCACTTCCCATCCTACGATCCGAACGACCCACTGATGCGCTGTTACCAAGTCGCTTTCCGTAGGCACGCCACCACGACGCCCCAACAGACCACTCCCTCGCAGCCATCATCCACAAGCGTCATCGCACCAGCCACCAGCATGTCACAGGACGACATCCACGGGCGCTTCCTGACGGCCGCCATGAATTGCGACACTAGGGCCATGCAACAAGAGTTCCACCGTCTCCTGTCGGTTGCAGAGAGCCGAAACCAAGACTGTCTATTTCTGAAACAGCTGCACGAGCAGGAGGTCGAGGCGAATCACGGCGAAATGGATTGGATGCGAAACCGAATCCAGCACTTGGAAGAGGAGATGCGCCGCGTTACCTCATGCAAGAAAGGAATTGGACAGGTCTACTACAGCCTGAATTAAAATGGAGACATGCAAAGTGGGTGACCCAACGTCAACGTAGGCTCCAGGGTTTTCGGGGTTTCTCCGTTGAATGAAGTTGCCGCATCAAAGGGAGGTCAGGTGGGTAGATTGTGTGTCGTGTAGACAAGGTCTTCCCGGCAAAACCTGGCTGTAAGCGCTCATCCTGCGCAGTATTGAGTATAGAGAGAAACGATTGTGTGGTAGTCGCAGGCCCATCTCGACATACAGCATTCTCGTTCTAGGGGTCGGTTAGATTTGCCTTCTGGCGCTGTAGTGCCAATAGCCTACACAAAGTTTATTGCTTCTTCTGGAATCCTCTGGCGTTATCAGCCTCTTCGGTTCTCAAAGAAAAGGGTTCAATTGCGCCATTGTTCGCTGAGGAAGAGGCTGTCGGATGGCTGCTCACAAAGGCGCGCTTGCTTTTCCTCCTACCGATCAGAATGTCGTGCATGAAGAAGCACTGTAGCTACCCGTACCTTGACTCTTTCGGGACGAGCGGCTGTGCACGCCGGCTCCAGTCAGTGGAAAAGCAAAATCCATATACTGAACGGTGTTAGTCCTCTCCATCAGCGAGTTCATTTTTGCGACAACTGCCTCATTTGGATGCTTATCGTCCGTACGATCGTCCGCACAATAATTCGTGGATCGTACTACCACGCTGCTGGGTGTGCATCCATTATCTGGAACGTCGGCTTCCTGCGGCAAAGTTCGAGTCAGCACACCCGGCCGCGAATCATCTCCCCTTCATCTTTGCCACGGCCCTGCGCAGTGCTAGGAACGATGCGCAACATTGCCTCTCGCATGAAGTTTAGATGTTGGTTTAAGGTACGGATGCGGCCCGGATGGTGCCCCACAGTTCAGGATAATTGCCATGAAACGCTTGGTCAATGCTCCGGGTGAAGCAGTCGCCGTTAAGAAAGAGTTGACCAGGCCTTCGCGGCGAGGCGTTTGTTCTGATGGCGTTGCACTCTGTGAGATATCGGTGTGAGTGCCAAAAATTTCTTGCGCGGGAAGTGCAGGGCGTGGATCATCCTTGGAGGTCAGCATACTCGCGTAAGCGGCACAGCGTGATCATGTCTCCAACGTCTTTCTCACCCGGCAACGAACCGAGGCATGAGGGTCATCACTTGAAAAGGAACAGCGAAAGGGGCGTCCCCCAAAAGAAGGGCCGATGGTGGATAGAGTGACAGTCTTTCAACTGTTTGCGGTCCAAGGCTGCAGCGACTAGTCGGCAGTCACTTGGCTGGGGCCCAGGACGCTGGGATTTGGAAAGTACTGCAGACCAATCGCATTGCTTATGGCTGAGCATGGTGCTGTTCGCGTATATGCACGCGTTGGCAATCCACTGTAAATATGCTGACTGGCAAATGAGGTATGGATAGTCGTGAGAACGAGGCTAGCTGCTCTGTCTGCCAGATAACGCATGCGAGGCATCGCCAGGCACGAACAGGCGTGACCTGAACATGATTGCGAGCTCACGATTGCGCCATCTCAGCCTTATCACGTTGCTGAGCATGCGATGCGTGAGTCAGTCGCACCAGAAGGGTTTGCAAAGCAGGGACTGTTGCTCATTTACAAGAAATAGGCATGGGCTTCAGCTTTCTCTCGCACGGATTGCTTCAAGCTAACCTGGACGGGGGCGTCGTGCATCTCAAGGTTCGATGCTGCGATGTCGTGCAGGCACGCATACATGCCTAAGCGAATGATTGACGGCCAAGCTCGCCACACAGACATGAGGAAGTTTGCTAGAGGGTGGGTCTGTACTGCCGGTGTGAGCCAAACATTCATCCTGCGGTGTCTGAGCTTGATTGGCGCAACGTCTCTTCAAAGTCCGTGGTCGGTCTTTGAGAGATTATTAGCGTCGTTTTGGTGATGCAGGCGAGGCGGGGAAGGACTCCCGGTGACAGGGATGTGCGAATGTAAACCTAGGGCTTAGCACTCGCATGGCTCAACCGCATGGATGGACTCGCTAGCTACGACGTGCCCATGCGAGCAACATACGTGTTCTATACGGGCGTCCGTGATAACCATGGTAGGCCGGATGATTAAGTCCGCCAGGTGGATCCGACCGTGAACAGACGTGCTGCTATGCAAGCAGAGGAGGAATGCAAGGAAGGCATCAATTCATCGATCTGCAGATGGAGCAATCGTCTCGGGCCTAGGCTTGGGCTGATGATGAGTGCCTTGGCTTGTGGTGTAACACTCAGGATAATGACCTTGTACCACGACAGGAAACACTCGTGAAACTTGCGGGAAAGCTGGTCAGGAAGATAACAGAGTCAGGAACTCGGCCCGCTGGTGATTTCGCGGCATCCCGTAGGGCTCTCGATGCTCGGGAAAGCAGACGACGACTTTCTGTGCGCATCGTCGAATGCGCTGCACAGTCAATCTGGCTAGAGCCGTGAAAGACTTGCATTATCGCTTGCAGGTTTAGGGGACGCATGTTGTTTGAGTCGCCCAGACACGATAGTATAGTAGCGGGCGAATACGCCCCCCACATGAAGAGTTATTTTGATACTGGGAGCAGAAGGATCTTCCTTTGCGGCGTGGCAGACCGACAGCTCTGTAGGATCGCCATGCAGTTACCCGAAGGTCACGACGACAGGCAGGTCTGATCACTGATCAGGTCATTTCGGCGTACAAGGTGATGGACAGTAGCTTAACTTTATTCCAGCTCTTGCACACCGTTTAGTGTCTGGTTGAAAATGTCCGCGTTTTGACGTTCTCGTAGACGAGGTCCCTCGAAGGTAGTCATCGGTCAGGCAGGAGGCAGGGGCGGGTCACGAGCCAATCAGAGGGGGTCGAGATACCAAGATAGGGACTTGTTTGGAAAAGCGCGCGCGGGAGGATTCCTATTCGGTCCGGTAATTGAGAGTCGCCCATGTCGCATCGGTGAAGGCAATGGGGCGAGAGATGTTGCAGGGCACTAACATGGCCGTTGGATGCGTCAGGAGGGTGCAGCTGTAGCTTGCCGCCTGGCGCCACAAGCACCGTTGAGTGCTAGCCGAAACAGCAAATGGCGAGATGAGAGCTAGCGACTAACGGTTTTGGGAGGCCGAGGAGGAGGTTCTGATATGGCGGTATCATGGCGGGCGTGTTGAGGTGCTGCCACTCGTGAGGTGAGGCACTTGGCGGAGTGGTTTGGAGGGGCGGGCGGCTGAGGGCGGCACAGTCATCAGTCAGAGGTACTCCGGAGTAAGCGACGTCAGCGTTTCCAGCGTCGTTTCTAGAGCAGGCTACGGTGTTTGCAGCATCGCATCTCCCGTTGCAGCGCGTCGTTGTCGCGGCGCGTCGGTGGCCGAGACGGGAAGCCCACAGTTGCGTTCATTCGGCTGCAGCCGCAGTCGTCCAAAGAAGCAAAGGGACACCCTGGCGGAGAGGCAGATTGGAGGACGAATATGGGACGGGCATGGGACGGTCACGTGGGGCCGGGCTAGGTAAGCAGCTAGCCGCAGTGGGCGCACAGCCGGGAGGACGTAGGGAACAGAACAGAACGCGGAAGCCTGAGGACACGGGGGTGTTTCCCACAGCCAGTCAGCGGGCAGTACACCGTCTAGATGGAAGCACAGGCTGAAGGTCACTGAGGGTCACTGTGGTCACTGTGGTCACTCGCGAGGCATGTTCTCGTCGCGCCTCGTCGCGCCTCGTCATGTCGTGCGCTCGGGGGCGGGCGGCAGCTCGAGTCTGGCAAGATTGGCATGCCACAAGCGGATCTCCAGCCGTCAGCCCCGAGCCCCTTAGCGCTTCGCACGCTTCCGCGTCTGGCGTCCCGCCGTGCGAGGCCCATGTCCAGCATGGGTGGCAGGGTGGCGGTGGGCGGGCGACATGGGGGCATGGGTTCGTCGACGGCATCAGGTCCCCGCTGCATGCCATCTCAAGTGGGCCCCAGCGCGCTCTTTCACAGTGCAGCAGCAGCGCCTTCCCCCGCAGCGCGCGCAAACCAGTGACATGCCCTGTCCCTCAACTAGGGCCGCCAGCCGCTTCTTCCAGTGCGGGCCCAGCACTGCACTCGAGCTGCTGCATCGCTAGACCCTTTCCACCCTTCCCGTGAGACCCTACTCCTTGTGCGACCCTGCCCTTCTTCCTCACGCACAACTTCCTCACCGCGTCGCCAGACCGCCAGACTCAAATACAGCGCCCGAATGCCATGATGGGAAGCGACTGGCATCCACGCAGGCACCCGCAGCCCGACCCCAACCACTTCCCCCAGCGGACCCTCCCCAGCTTTGCTGAGCTGACCTCGTCGTCCGACTCAGTCCTGCACCGCCCGCGTGACAACGTGCCGCCGCCGCCGACGCCCCAAGATCGTCCTGTCTCGCACCAGACGCCGCCGGCCACGCTCGCTGCCCTCGACTTTGCGCATCCAAACTCGCATTCCAGCTCCTTCACCGCAGTCAATCACGCGAGCCCGCACGTCAGGTAAGTTCCGACAAGTGACAGAGCCTGCCGCAAGCGTGCTGACCTGCTGGCCAGCCCCACCAACACCAGAATTCCACCACTGGGCCCCGAACATCAACCATTTTCTCTCTCTCTGCCCCAGGGCCCAATTGCTGCCTACAGTCCGCCTGTCTCTTCCTCTGCATCTTCGCATCCACCACCACATCCGTCCGCCAGCGTCCGCCAAGACTCGGCCATCTCCCATCGCTTCGAAAACTCAAAGGAAACCGAACCGACTCTCCCCTCCTCTGTGCTGGCCTTTTCTTATTTCCACCCTGCTGCGGGTAATGGTCGTCAATCTAACACGTCCCGCCCCATCTCACATCCAGCTGCGCCTTCCTCGCCACGCTCTCCAGCAAGCGACAATCGCTTAAATCAGGTACCCGTGGAGACAGGAATCCGCCATCCAAACGGGGCACCCTCCCCATCGTTATCCTCAGGCCCTCACGCTTTTACGGAATCGTCCAGGTCGCCAGAGCAGGCTCGAGACGTTAACCCGGAATCTGGATCCAGGAGACCACTCCCATCTCCGACATTAGACCAAACAAACGGTGGCGGGCGAC